CTCTATAACCACCACTGTTCCCAACAACCTCAATAAGTTGTTATATTCATGCAGATTTTGCACAGTTTCTATCTTGGTGAGTTAAATAACATGCTGCTGTCATTTTACACATTTCTAATTATGCTGCTATTTTCACATATCCATTACTGTAAAAATGTCCATAGCTGCATATTGGTGATTTATTCTCTAGGTGTACAGTATTTATATTGTGAAAAGACTTTACAATACAGTGTTTTATTTCTTTATTTTTTAACGCTTTCTAAGGTCCACATTTGTGTGACCATTTTTTCTATAATCTTTTTAAACACCATAATTTCCCCATTGTGGGACAATAAAGGGATTTTCTATTCTATTCTATTTACGCATTGTTTTTTTTTCTGCCACATGGGAGACAATATGAAAAGAAACTGGGAGATTGCATTAATTTATGAACTATGCAACCATTTGCAACCTACTGATCATGCATATGGAAACAGACAAAAGGAAAACTCTTTATGAAAGGAGGGAGCAGACCCAGGCTATGACAGACTGCTGCTGGTTTAAGAAGCAGAACAGAGACACCAAAGGAAGAAAGAAGCACTGATCTAGGCGTACTTTTCTATGTTACAAACAAGGTTGTTACATAGCTAAGCAGATAAGCTCTGAGCCGGAAAATAAAATCTATGGTATGAATCTAAGCAGATGTCATTAGACACAGCAAGAGCTCCTTCAACTGCTTTGGAGAGGCTTCATGATGATGATGATGTCTTCCTGGGTACTGTTATCTTTGGAAATTGCAAACATAAAAAAAAAAGAAAATTTGGCCCTGGAACAACAGATGTGGTGGACCTACCTCACTTTTCAGCACAATCCGGTGTGAATTAAAAACATTTATAGGTTGATTCCAGAATCCGAGCCCCATGTTTTGAAAGCGTACATGGCTTACTATGAGCTGGTGAAGATTCTCAGGCATCACTAATTGCACTATGACTCTCACTATGACTATCAAAGAAGTGGAATCTGACTGGATCTGAATATTAACCTGAGATCTGAGTTTATTACACTCAGACTCAGCAGGAATTCCTAATATTCTGCCTGTAATGCACATAATCTCTGATTCACTTTAAAACATATCTTATATCTGCTGGGTGAGACACTGACATCCTATAATGGAGATTATTATGCACATTGGTGCAGATGGATGGAAGAATAAAGGAGGTGATAACAGAGAGTGTTATTATTTTCCATGAATTTCCATCCCACAGATCCTTAGTTTGACAGTCATTATACACTGATTATGAGTGGATATGAAAAACACAGGAATGTGACGACATCTTTCATTTCATAAAGTTCCAGTTTCTCAGTAGAATATTGTTCTATAGAAGATATTCAAATTAAATAGAGGTTTTCTTTTCTCAATCAGTAAAAATGTCACGGTCTGAGATGTATGCCGGTGCAGCGCTCACATCTTATCAGCTGATCCTGATTATCGACATGTTCAGTAACCGCAACTTACTGTGTACAGATGGGATTTAAATCTTTGCTTTATTATATGGATCTTCCACATTGTCTTAAGCATGGGGAGAGGTCTGCTAAGTTGGACTCTTACATTTAAATCACCAGTGTTTATTCTGGGCTTCAGATTATTTCACTTTGACTTTTATTGTTTGATAATATTAGATTATATTCGACTCTTGAATCAATATTTTGCAGAAATGAGGTGGGATTTATTAACACGGATACATAGCTGTTGGGTTTTTTCCTATTGGCCCAGTTTTTAGTTATTTTATCATTGTGCGTTTGTTTTCTGCACATAACATCTTGTTGTTTGCTCTGGCAGGTCCTAATAGATTTTCTTCAGATTGTGTTTAAAACACATAAAACAGGGATCATTTTTAAGAGGATGATGTCTTAGTTAATGAACCAAAAATAAAGATGCAGTCCTTTTGCCTCTGAAGAAAAACTTGGATTTGAGGATTAATGTTACAAACATCTAAATGTAGTTCAGTTGGTAGTTTAAAAAACAGCGGCTGCTTCTCATCAACCAGGATGATTGTGATCTGCAATCAAAGCTGTTATTAAAGCTTTTTCTATTGTTCTGTTTCTGTGTTTGAGTAGTTGACATAAATTCATGGAGGTTTGTTAGGTTTATTCAATGATGATTATAAAATTAATGTATGTACATATAAAACATTGGAGTAATGATATGCTTCACTCTGTCTTGTGATTCAGTCAGTGGAGCATCCTGTCTTATGACCTGATCCATTGTCCTTTCAGAACAATACTCTGTTTTGTAACCATGTGTTATGTTCTGTTAATAAAAACGCTCTGCAGAGGAGGTTCGGGAGAGAGAGAGTTGGAGTGTTGGGTTTGGCTCTTTCCCCTTCTGCAGAAGCTGTTGTTGAAAATCCCTTTCTGTGTGTACTCAGTCCTTCTTTTACGAACCTACATTTTTGAACCTAACAAGGTTTTTAACAGAAAGCTAATGAATCCATTGGACAGTAGTGCTAAAACCCTTGGTACCAGTAGAGATTTTATTTGACAATCCAGCTGAGAATTTTACCTGGAGAATATGAACAGATAATCCGCAAAAAGATTTTTTAAAAAATGGCAGGTTTAATTAAAAAGAAAAATGTTTAGGTTCTATCAAAGATAGCCTGATTAGAGTGTTATTATCAAAGATATCAAAATATATGTTTGCAAGTTTCCAAAAAACCATCAGATTTAACTTTAAATGAAATAGTAGCCTAATAAACATACTTGGGCCTGATACAGATCCCTGTGGGACACCAGAACTGGTGAAGCTTGAGATCTTCAGTATTTTTACTTTACATAATCAACATGTTGACTTAAACGTTCAAACTTTGTGGTAACATGTTAACCATTTACAGAATGGGACTGATTTGATAAGATATAAATCATCAAAGATTAAAAAAAAGTGTAGCTCTGAGTATGAAACCCGGGTTCAGTTCCAACCATAGTTACGGGTCAGATGTGTTGTTTTGCATGTTTTGTTTGTTTTTATTTTTGGGGGGACTCGGTCGGTTGGATGTGACGTAGTTTCCATAAAACACAAAGGATGATCTTAGACATAGCCCCATTTTTTCCTCTTTTGTGATCATTTGCTTTCCTCCAACAGTTTCGTTACAAGAGCAGAGTCTACAGGCAGCCCAACATTGATGAGAAGCAGATCGCCAAGCTTCATACAAAGGTGAGACTTAACAAAACAAGTCTGGTCAGCATGTGCGCTATGAGCCTTGGCTTCTTTAAATGTCGTGCTTATTAAAATGCAGCTGTCATCATGGGAGCCAGTAGTGACTGTCAATGGGAGGAGGAGAATTAACTAAAGCAATTAATGTCAGCTCTGACAGAGATGTTTAATGCATTTTCATTTCGAAACAGCAAAAACAGCACGCTTCCTCTGTGCTTACAGCAAATTATCTTTTAATTTTTACACACTGCAATTAAAGGAGCACATATCACCTTAGGCTGCGACACACATCATGGTTGCTCTAAGATAACCTTTGCTAAACAAAGTGCTCTGAATGATAAAGAGAAGATTTATTTTATCCACATGATGGTACATTTTACACACACACACACACACACACATATATATATATATATATATAT